GAGTGTCCCACAAGAGTGTCCCACAACAGTGTCCTATAAGAGTGTCCTACAAGAGTTTCCTACAAGAGTTTCCCACAAGAGTTTCCTACAAGAGTGTCCCACAAGAGTGTCCCACAAGAGTGTCCCACAAGAGTTTCCTACAAGAGTGTCCCGTAAGAGTGTCCCACAAGAGTGTCCTGTAAGAGTGCCCACAAGAGTGTCCTATAAGGGTGTCCGACTAGAGTGTCCTACAAAAAGTGTCCCCCGTAAGAGTGACCCACAAGAGTGTCCTGCAAGAGTGTCCCACAAGAGTGTCCTGCACGAGTGACAGCGTCCTACAAGAGTGTCCTACAAGAGTGCCCCTCAAGAGTTTCCTACAAGAGTGACCCACAAGCCTACAAGAGTGTCCCGTAAGAGTTTCCCACAAGAGTTTCCCACGAGAGTGTCCGACAACTAGAGTGTCCCACAAAGAGTGTCAAGAGTGTCCTACAAGAGTGTCTCACAAGAGTGTCCCACAAGAGTGTCCGACAAGAGTGTCCCATAAGAGAGACCCACAAGAGTGTCCTATAAGAGTGTCCCACAAGAGTGTCCTGTAAGAGTGACCCACAAGAGTGTCCTACAAGAGTGTCCCACAAGAGTGTCCCACAACAGTGTCCTATAAGAGTGTCCCACAAGAGTGTCGTCCCACAAGAGTTTCCTACAAGAGTGTCCCACAAGAGTGTCCCACAAGAGTGTCCTACAAGAGTGCCCTAGAAGAGTGTCCCACAAGAGTGTCCCACAAGAGTGTCCTACAAGAGTGTCTCACAAGAGTGTCAAGAGTGTCCTACAAGAGTGTCTCACAAGAGTGTCCCACAAGAGTGTCCGACAAGAGTGTCCCATAAGAGTGACCCACTAAGAGTGTCCTATAAGAGTGTCCCACAAGAGTGTCTTGTAAGAGTGTCCCACAAGAGTGTCCTACAAGAGTGTCCCACAAGAGTGTCCCACAACAGTGTCCTACAAGAGTGTCCCACAAGAGTGTCCTACAAGAGTTTCCCACAAGAGTTTCCTACAAGAGTGTCCCACAAGAGTGTCAAGAGTGTCCTACAAGAGTGCGATTTGGACATATGTAGCTTTTGGAACGTGTTTGCATTCGGGTTCGTGGGCTTCATTTTGTGTTTTTTTTTGCATGCCTCAATTCACCCATAGGTGTGCAGATACAGCGCGGGCGTCATTGTTTTGGATGTCCAAGTCATGGGCGCTTCGGCGGCTTTCAGCTTGCTGGTTGGCAACTTGTGTTGTGGTATACCCATGTTCGCACTGCTTGTGGCATGCTTGGCAGTTTTCTTTGCACAGCGTTGTCACTAGTTGCCAGCAATTGCAGAAGGAAAACAAAAACAAATTATGAACAGTTTTCCCTTCAGGTTCCCACATCCTGGTCGGCGACATTATGCGCTCCGTGAATCTGTTCCGCTTCGAGGTGCGGGAGAAAAACACGTAACTTTGGGCATTGCCAAGGCTATCTTAGAATGTTGTTGTTTTTGGAATGAAAGTACTATAGAAACACATTGAGCAAGTAGTCAATGTCAAGGACTCATCTTTGAAAATGGTCGCGTATGATGAGATCTCGGCCTGGTCAACATCTGTGGACATGCTGTCTGACAACCACTTCCTGTGCCCCGCCATAGAAATCAGAAGAACAGACATCAGGAGATTGTCGGTGATTTGTCAATTGATGATCTCCTTAGGTGTGCAGATGATGGCGGCAATTTGCTGGCACTCTCGAGGGGCGAGCTGACGGCCTCCGTGGGAGATGTGAGAATACTGGAAAGAGCACCTCGGCAAGGGCCATGAAACGGAGCACCAGCGTCGGTGGCTTGAGGAGCTTTCGATGTGGTGCCCCCCTGACCCAGGTTGGGCGGATCCACACCGGTGAGTTCATGTAGCTTGGTTTGCATTTGATTTGAAACCCAAGCAGCAGTGGACAACGAATGGTTGTGGGGTTTGGAGCACACGATGATCACTACGCGATACATTAGATTAGTTGAGCCTGTTCTCAGGAATCGATTTCGCCCGGGATTCTTTGCCTTGCGAGTAAACGAGCCGCGGGTCAAGACCACAATTTGGGAACCATGGCTAAAACTTGCTTTGTGCATAAAGTCTGGAGCTTTGCGCCTGCAGCATGTGGCGTGCTAGGCCAGTGCATCTGGTGCCTTTGGAGTTATTGTGCCAGTGAATTGCGAGAAGACCTTCATGCGACTGTTGATGCTGCAGGACGACAACTGAAGTCGATCAGTGAATGTCGGTATATAAGGAACAAGAAGCTACTAGGGGCTCCTGGCCTTACTACTAGGAGCAAGGACGCTACTAGGGGCTCCTGGCCATACTACTACGAGCAAGGATGCTACTAGGAGCTTTTTGTTTTTTGGTTTTGAGCCCAACCAAGTCTGGCGCCTTTGAGGACTGCATCAGACGCGAGCTTGTACCAATGTTGACCCACAGCACGTTGAGAGACACTCTGCAGTGCAGACCCGCATTGTGTGCAAAAGATTGTCAACTGTTTTTTTAAAAGCTCGCTCCCCCCCTCCCTACTCAATTAAGTAGGCGCGTACTTCATTAAGTAAGCTAGTACCTTACTTCAGCTACTAGCATGGACACAGGATAGATCACACTTCTTCAAGGAAGCTCCCCCTAGAAGCGCTCCCACTATAAATCTAGGGAAACTTAAGTTCCCCATACTGTGTTATTGTACAAGTATACACTTTACACTTTGCCAAGTACTTTGCCATTTTTGCCAACGTATGTTGACATATGCTTCATACAGTAAGTACTGTGTACAGTGTAGCGACCATGTTTGAGGCCTTTTGCTTCACTGTGACTCAGGGTGGCACTGAATATGGAGGCTTTCTCAATGGCGACCTTTTGGAGCGTTTCCTCGACATACCAGAGGGAAAGCAAAAGGCAGGGCTTTGGGTTGGCTTGCTCATCAAATTGCTGTCTACTGTCTGTAGTTCAAATTGTCCAGACGTATCCAGACGTCGAACTGCACAATTAACGTTCCAGATGGTCCTAGGATTTCCCTTGACACAGGTCTTGGCATTGGAAGTCGCAGACGCAGGCTTGACTACCAGTGAAAACCCAGTCCTGGAACTCATCCAAGATGTGGAGGGACTCTCTCAGATGTATTGATTGTCATGAGTCATGATTGTTCGTGAAAGTCAGCCAAAGTCTCGCTGACTTTGATGATGCAATTATGTGACATAAAAAAGACGTCCAACCATTCTCAGAATACTCTGAATGTGTACTTGCTATGTGGCTTGAGGCAGCTTATGTTGAATTGAATACTTGACAGTGCTGTAGTGTTATCAAGGCTCAAAATTATGTTAGGTATAATATATATATATATATTTGCATATTCGTCATTAGCCAAATGCCCAATGCCAAGCCGAGTGGGGGCTGGAACCTGGGCTAGAGCCACGAGACATCATAGAAATGTATAACTTGCTCATCAAGGCAGGTTCTTAGTCCTTGTAGGAACTGGACAAGCAATAAAGACTCCGGTGCCGTGGAATTTGGAGAAAGACCTGGAATGAGAAAGAAATATGAGAGGACAACAGCACAATATAGCAGGATTACATAATGGAGAACGAACGTTTGCACCATCAAGAGATTGCAGTAGGCAGAGCTCTTTCGGAGCGCGATGACTACCATTGAGGAGCGCTCTAAACGCTTCACTCCCAAAGTCAACACCTCCTTTTGTATGGCCAGGGCTCGATTCTCAGTGGACCATCAGAAAATCAACGGCTTGCCCCAAGAAAAGACAGGTTCAAGGCTTGCGCATGAATGAGGGGATAAGCAAACTGCCGGATTGTATCGATGCAGACATGCACGCTTAAGGTTTGGAATGGCGGCTTGGGAGGACAGTGTCCATTGATGCCGGTGTCCAACTCCTTCGGCTTATGCAAGACTCATGCTCATCGAGATGCAGCAGAAGGGCTGTCGCACGGCAGGGTCGATGGGCCAATTCCCCTCGACACTCAGTTGCCACTTCGACATGTCATCTACAGGCTAATTACAGAAGCAAAGCATAAGCTGGTGAGAAGCAATGGCTCGTGAAATTTCACTCAGCCGCGCTCACAAGGAAAAGCTCGAGGAGTTTGAGGAGCGATGGGAGAAAAGAGGAAGCAATGGCTCATTTGTGCAAGGCCATGTGTGAGTCGAGTCGGCTTATTAAATCAAATGGTCTACTCAACAAGTCTATTCTTACAAAATTAACAAAAAGTTACCGTATCCAAAGTGTTACGAGACAACAACAGTCGAACATGCTTGAACGTTTGCGGCACAAATTGGTTTGGCATGGTTTGATCAGATTGTTGACACTCCAGTTGAGCACGATCCAGCATTGGGCCGCACAGAGCCCAGGCTCGCCGCATGGGATCCCACCAGCCAGCCCCCAGTCCAAAGCAAGGACTGGATCATGAAGCAGTTGGTCATAACATGATAGCCTGTAATGTGCATTTAATAGTCCCGTTTTAAAAAAGGGCCCAGTGCAACATTGCAGTATGGTGCAATGGTGCAAGTAGGTTGTCCCCTTAAAACTGAGCTGTCAAGGGCGGCAAAGCCACGAAGCGTCACCAGGAGCCCCTCGCGAACTCCGCGCAGAATCAGAACTCCGCCTCCAGAGGTCACACCCAAGCGAAAGCTGAGCAAAAGGGCTACACCGGATGCGCCTACGCCCTCTACACCAAGTATACGCAAGACACCTCTTAAAGAGGGAGCGGGCAGCTGTCTTGCACGTGTTTGGGCAAGTGGCAGAGGTGGGCAGAAACTTGGTCGCAGTCTCAAGCGAAAAGCCTTTCAGAAACGGCAGAAAGTGATTCTGCCCTTCTTATTCTATTCGGTGGAGACTTTGTGAGCATTTTGCGCTGCTCACTGCTCATGTCTTATACACAGATGATGTTTTTGTGTTGAGTAGAAACCAGCCACCTTTGACAAAGTAGGTTGATTCGATGGCAGGTGTAAGCTATGCACGTTGAACGCTTTGATCCACGGCAACTCTTATCTCAAACGCTTTCCCACCATTTGTCTCGCTTGATCAGAGCAGCATGGACTGTTTGCTGCCGGCCGGCCGGCGCTTGTCGGTCAAAGACCTTAAATCCTTAAATGGCCATCGAGCGGGCAAAACATGCGCGAGGGCAAGGATCAAGCTTGCCACTTCGCAGCAGATTGTGGCAACCCAAGCCAGCCAAGCAGGTGGTCACAGACCCCCCACAAGCTCTGGAAACCGGTCGACCAGCATAGGGCTGGAGCAAATTAGTTCATTTTCACTGAGTGAACCAGTAAACCATAACAAAACCTCACAACGTCCGTAGCATCATCCTGAAGCTGTTCGCCGGCCGCAGTCCAACTGGCTTCGACATATTGCATATCTGCAGAGTTGAGGCTTCGCAATGGCTTAACAATGCCAAACATGCCGGGAGATTTGTGTGTTCCCACGAGGTCGGAGCAGTTGCTCCAGAATTAGCCCAAAGGTTCAGAACTGCTTGCTGCTTTGCTTTCAGCCGATCCATGCAATCCCCTCCGGCCAGACCAAAGACCCAGTGCCATTAAGTTTTGATCCTGTGATCAGCCCAGCGCTGCTGGCCACTCAGTATCAAGTTTTGCCATCCGATGGGTCATGCTTTGCACCCTAGCACTAGCGCATTGTCATTGTGTCACAGACCCACCAAGTTCACTTGCATCGGTGCTCCACCAACACAATCAATTTGTCCATACTCAGTTTTAACTGCTAGACCTGAAAGAAGGCCATCATCGAAAAGAAGCCCATAGCCACGTCATGGGCAGCAATTCCCAAATTGTTAACATATTGTATACTGATTTGATCACTAATTATGTGAAGACCTGGACCGCGAGGCAAGAATGAAGGGCACAAGTGGACAGCAATGCCAAGCGCAATATGGCTACAAGATGCTATAAGCTGATACAAGCACATTCCAGACGGTACAGTACACCGATAGTGCGCAGCCTTTTGGAGCACTCCTTTGTACGTTAGTAGGGCACTAGTTAGTCATATTTCTTTTTGTGTTGGCGGCACCCGCCCCACTTTGAGACAAAAGTCACAATTAGGTGCACCAAGCCAGCAGAAGAGGGCCACAGCTTGTGCAAACAACACATGCGAGATGCAGAAAAACATGACGGAGTACCTTGCCATGGCTTCGTCAAAGGCCACTTGTCATAGCCTGTTTGGTCCAATTTGAGAGTAGCTTCTTGTTCCTAGTAGCTTGTTGTTACTAGTAGTAAGGCCAGGAGCCCCTAGTTAGCGTCCTTGCTCCTAGTAGCGATGCCAGGAGCCCCTAGTAGCTTCTTGTTCCAATTTGGGGTTGACCACAGAAGCCACCAACTGTTCAACCTTGGAGCTTGAGGTGAAATACCATCCGCAAAGATGCAGGACTTCAAGAAAGAAGCGGCTGCTTTGCTGATGTAATTTTGCTTTCACGTTTAATGTTTTATTCAATTGGTTTCTATTCAAGTTGATAATTTCAGGATTGTCCTGTGCCTGAGGCTAAGCGTGGATGGAGCGAGCCAAGCCCAGACGCACCGAGCGTTGCAACAGAGAAAGAGCTTAGGCCAGCTGGCCCAAGGACTTGAGAACATGATCAGGATATCGGACATGTGCAATTTGACGACACATTTATGCATAGTATATACGACACGTCACGTAAGTAACTATTTCATGAACGCCTACACCCGGAGTAAAAGGTTGGGCAACGTCTCCTACATGTTGTGGCCAAGGTCTGTTCCCAAAGCCCTCAAGCGACCAGCGGGCGAAAAGACATAAGACTTAAGAGCATGCTCGCAAGAGAAGCGTTAAAAAAGGAATGGTTGACGTGCTCCCAAGCTGGCTGGTGTACTTTAGTCGCCTCAACTCCAGTGTGGTCATGTTCGGTTCAGTTCAAATTTGAGGGCAATTATATAGCCCAATCTAAATTATTGTGTCCTGATTCAGTTTAACACTCGGCTTGTAGAGATCCTTGTCATTGTGCTGCCTCAACACCCAAGTCCATGAGCAAGTTCTGTTCTTTTGACCGCAGTGTTTCGGCTCGTCTTTGTCAATGTTGTACGAACCTTAACGGTTGCAATTCTTGAGGGTAGCAAGGTGGTGTAAAGTCAGCCGGTCTTTCTAAACTAGCTTGCGCTTACGACAATTCCATGCTGGGCCTGGCGATGGAATCAGAAGAGGGCCCTGGCTGCTTCCTGGATGTCAAAGCGTTTCCCCACTTCAGTGAGTGGCTTGGCTTTGACTTCGAGGACGGAATTCAGCGATTGCTGGATCCCACCTTCAAGCTTGTGACAATCGCCAAATTTCTATTAATTAAGCTACCGCGGTCATTCGCGAAGCGTCAATTACCCAACTGTCGTTAGTTTACCGAATGCACGTTCGACGAGGGACATCTTACCAGTTAGGGTAGGCCTTTTGTTTTGAATGGCCAAGGTTGCTGTCGGCCAGTGAGGGCTATGCGCGACACAGTGGCTGCCGGTTTCGCAAAGGTTCCTTCAGCAACTTGCCGGAAGGCGCATCGAGTGTAGTGGTGGAGCTTCACAAGTGACAAGAGTCTGCTCTGAAGGGTGGACAGAGCAAAGGTTAATTAAGTCATCGGGGTCTAATGAGTCTACTGATATCTAATGTTTCATGATATTGATTCGTCAATAAAGGGTCTCCTTGATAGCAACTCAATACAGCCTCAGCCACACACGCACACATTTACATGCGGTATATATATATATGTTATATATATATATATGTTTATAAACAAACATCAATAACTCAGCACGGATTGGTTACAATTGAATCGGCTCGTTGGCTTTGTTGTTCCTGCAGTGCTACAACGCTGCATCAGCGGTATTGGAGCAGATCAGTGCATGGGGATCAGACAATCATCCCGTCGGATACATCGGATCAGCCAATCATGAATCCACGGATCATCGCAACAGCCAACTCATCAGATCACTGCAGATCATCGCATGAAGGGATCATCGGATCGGCGGATTATCGGAACAGTCGTAGCGGATCAAGCGGATCATATAGAATCTTCACATGGAATCAGCGGATCACCAAATCAGGGGACCAAGCAGATCAGTTGGAATTGGCAGCCTAGCGATCATTACGCCCCGACTTTGGTCCAGCCAAAATATAAAGCACGCATGGTGGTGCAACACACCGCTTTGTCGTCGGTTTCGGGAACCTGGCTTTGATTGTACGGATATTT